CAGGGTCACGCCGAGCACCACGGAAACACTGGTAAAAATACGACCAGGGGATCTACCACCAAGCACCAGTCAAGCAGTCACAAGGACGAGCACGGCGGATCATCTACCAAGCAGTCCAGCGATAACGAGAAGCACCACGGCAACCAGGGTCACGCCGAGCACCACGGCAACCAGGGTCACGCCGAGCACCATGGCAACCAGGGTCACGCCGAGCACCACGGAAACACTAGTAAAAATACGACCAGTGGATCTACTACCAAGCACCAGTCAAGCAACCACAAGGACGAGCACAGCGGATCATCTACCAAGCAGTCCAGCGATAAGGAGAAGCACCACGGCAACCAGGGGCACGCCGAGCACCACGGCAACCAGGGGCACGCCGAGCACCACGGAAACACCGGTAAAAATACGACCAGTGGATCTACCACCAAGCACCAGTCAAGCAGTCACAAGGACGAGCACAGCGGATCATCTACCAAGCAGTCCAGCGATAAGGACAAGCACCACGGCAACCAGGGTCACGCCGAGCACCACGGCAACCAAGGACACGCCGAGCACCACGGCAACCAGGGGCACGCCGAGCACCACGGCAACCAGGGTCACGCTGAGCACCACGGAAACACTGGTAAAAATACGACCAGTGGATCTACCACCAAGCACCAGTCAAGCAGTCACAAGGACGAGCACAGCGGATCATCTACCGAGCAGTCCAGCGATAAGGAGAAGCACCACGGCAACCAGGGTCACGCCGAGCACCACGGCAACCAGGGGCACGCCGAGCACCACGACAACACTGGTAAAAATACGACTAGTGGATCTACCACCAAGCACCAGTCAAGCAGTCACAAGGACGAGCACAGCGGGTCATCTACCAAGCAGTCCAGCGATAAAGAGAAGCACCACGGCAACCAGGGGCACGCCGAGCACCACGGCAACCAGGGGCACGCCGAGCACCACGGCAACCAAGGACACGCCGAGCACCACGGACACCAGGGTCACGCTAAGCAAGGTTCAACCACCCACAAGGATGACCACCACGCAGTCAATGCAAAGCAAGGGTCGACTGCTCATAAGGACGACCACCACCTCGCATCCACTACCAAGCAGGGGTCGACCGCCCACAAGGACGATCACCACGCCGCCTCCACTACCAAGCAGGGGTCGACTGCCCACAAGGACGACCACCAAGCCGCCTCCACTACGAAGCAGGGGTCGACTGCCCACAAGGACGACCACCACGCCGCCTCCACAACCAAGCAGGGGTCGACCGCCCACAAGGACGACCACCACGCCGCCTCCACAACAAAGCAGGGGTCGACTGCCCACAAAGACGACCACCAGGCCGCCTCCACAACCAAGCAGGGGTCGACCGCCCACAAGGACGACCACCACGCCGCCTCCACAACCAAGCAGGGGTCGACCTCGCAAAAGGATGGCCAGCACAACGCCTCGACTGCCAAGCATGGGTCGACCGCCCACAAGGACGAACACAGCGCCGCCAGCACAACCAAGCAAGGGTCGACCG